AAAAGAGAACAAAAAGGAGGAGGAAGAAAAAAAAGAGACCTACAAGATTGCTTTGGCTGTTCGAGGTCTTTCATGGTCCCTTACAAATTTTGGAATGGTTTGTTCCAGTTCTGTGAGGAATGTCGCAGGTATTTTGATGGGGGTTGCGTTGGATCTGTGGATTGCTTTGGGTAGTGTAGCCATTTTGATAGTGTTGATTCTTCCAATCCAAGAGCACAAGAAATCTTCCCATTTCTTTGTGTCCTTTCACTTTTCAGAGTATAGGTAACCTCCTTGGTTAAGTTTATTTCTGAGTATTTTTTTTGTTTTGATATAATGGAAATGTCTCTGCCAGTTATAAAATTCTGGTTTTTGAAGTGAAAAAAAAGTGAATGAAGGGCCTCAAATGGCAAAATATCCTTTTGTATGGGTGAGTTGTGTTCCATTACACACACACACACACACACACACACACACACACACATATACATATATGAATCTCCATTATCTATTCAACTATTGATGTGCACTTAGGATGCTTCCTTATCTTGGCAATTATAAATAATATTGCTGTTAAGAGCAGGGTGTATGTATCTTTTTGAGTTAATTCTTATTTTGTGGTTGGCTTTATTTCTTTGATAACTATGTAAGTTTAAAAAGCTAAAGCTCTAAACGTTCTTAGAATCAATGAACAGTACATACATATAAGTTAAAAAATATGTGCAGTGAAAAAAAATGATCAAACCATAAAAGACATAGAAGAAACTTAAAAGACATATTACTAAATTAAAGAAGCCAGTCTGAAAAGGCTACAAACTGTACAATTCCAACCAAATGACATTCTGGAAAAGGCACAGCTACAGAAACAATAAAAAGATCACGGTTTCCAGGGGTTTGGGGAGAGGGAAGGAGGAAGGAATGACTAGATGGAGTACAAGGGATTTTTAAGGCAATGAAATTATTCTGTATGTTATTATAGTGGTGGCTACATGTCATTATGCATTTGTCAAAACCCGTATTATGTACAACATCAAGAGTAAACCCTAATGTAAACTATGGACTTTGGTTGCTAATAATGTGCCCATGTTGGTTCATTGATTGTACCAAATATGCCACACTGATGAGGGATGTTGAAGGCAGGGAAGTATATATGTGTGGGTGGGGAGGGCTATGTAGGAACTCTGTATTTTCTGCTCAATTCTGTTGTGAACCTGAAACTGCTGTAAAAGAATACAGTCTATTAAAAAAAAAAAAGATTCAAAGTCATCCAGTTAGTGGTTGAAACTGAACCTCAAGAATTTAACAGCTTCTTTTAAATATGTGTAATTCATGGATACATTCTCATTGTTTTTAAAATAAAAAGTCATAGAAGTAAAAAAAAAAAGGCTAAAATGGTCAATTTTATGTTATGTATATTTTACCACACAAAAAAATGAAGTATCTATGAATATTCTTACCAAAAACAAACAAACAAATCCAAAAGGGTTTGCTTGAAAATAACTAATTGTACATCTATGATCAAAAATCTTTCTATTTCTGGAAAAGTATTCTCTCCCTCCAAGCTCAAAGCTTCAGGACAGATGCTCACTGAGGGGAGATGAGGGACCTATGGCTCATCAGTTAAGATTAACCCCAATAAAAATTGGGGTGAAAGAAGCTGAGGCAGGTCACCCCACAACTACTGACAGACACCAGATGTGGCTGCAGGAAGAAATGCACAAAGAAAGGCGGAGAGTTCACAACCCTTGCTGTGCATTTTGGCTGACTGGTGAAGCCTATAGATCCCTTCAGAGTAATATTTCAGGATGCATAATATATGTAAGATTTTTTGGGAATACAGTTATAAAAATATTTTAAAATTGTAATATAGGTATATATGTGATTCTTCACCAATGTGTTAATATACTCGATTTAGTAGTGATTCTAGTAACTACTGTCATTTGGAAGATAGTAATCTTTCAAGACATCTGCAAATGTAACACCGGTAAACAATATTTCTACTGATAACAAATTCCCAGGCACTGTTAATACTATTGTAGTTGGCAGCCTTCATTCACAGATTTAGGAAACGATAAATTTCAGTTGGAGCTGAGTGAAAACAACATGCAACTTTTTTGGTATCCAAGTTCAATGGGCCTCCATCTCCTCAATTCTCTCCACAGATCCTTTAGGGGTCGGTCCATGGAGCCCTTGCACTGTTGGGGTCCAAGACAGTTGTTCTACGTGTGAAATGAATAAACTCAATCCAGTAACAAACACAATGGGATTCTGAACATATGAATATAATTCACAAGATATTTTTATGCTTGCTAAGCAAAATGGCCATTTCTACACACTGGATGGACTTGTTTGCAGTGTAAAGATGCAGAAGGTGCTGCCAGATGCACAGGATGGGAGCAGCAAGCAAGCTGTTGATTTTAACAGCACAGAAAGGATACTGTTCACTACTACCAAAGTTATCAGAGAATTCCCTGCAGGAGGAAGGTCGAGAAAGCTAATTTTCTATAAGCTCGGTAGAGAGCAACAGAAATACATTTGACAATTTTTAAAGCCTGACACTTGGGTAGGAAAGCCCATCAAAATTCTCCACCTTGGACCAGAGGGAGATACAAAGGCAAGTTTCATCTGATAAACATGCCAGCAGTATTTTCTAGAAAGCTTACTCAAAATTCACGTCTCCATTTCCCTAAACATTCGATGTAGAAAATAATTACCTAAATCATTTACTTTTCTAGTTTTTACATGAATGCTCACAACTGAATAGACATCTAAATTAACCCCTTTTTCTATACTCACTTCTGGGCATCCTGCTATAGACTACTGAACCCTCATAAAAGAGGGTCAGGTCACTTAGAAACAGCCTTTGGTGGTCTAAGGATAAAACACTGCAGTTCTTTTTTAAGGCCAATTCAGTGTAATTTTTTAAAAAATGATTTTTAACTTAAAACCATATCATTCTGAAGGTGGCAGTTACTTGTGCTAGAAGTAAATGTATGTAACCGATTTAGAACACGGCCCCATCTTCTGAGAGATCTGTGCCTACAACATAACCCTTTTCCATAGGAAAGAGGTAAAAATTTTTCATTTAGTTTGACCTTACAAACTAAACTTTAGACAGACCCATAGTTCTATTACCTCCACTATTCAGTATTATTCTTTTGGACTAATTAAAATAATTTTTTCTTGCCTCATTATGTCTTCATAGTTTTGCCTTTAAAAACACCTTATTTACCTCTCTAAATATTTAAAGTCTTAGATTTTGCCTCACTTAGTAAAATTATTTATCTATGAAGGGTTGTCATTATTTAACTTTTTCTTAAACCTCTAATGAAAGTTTGCAAATTTTGTTAATGATTCTCAAAACATTAGTATCATAATTTTTCTTTAAGAAAGTACATTAAAAATAGCAGTACTATTTAAATTTATTATACTAATGATAATGAGGACTCAATTCAATGATTTATTTATTAAAATAAGCCTGTGCTGGAGGGGCAGGGTAGAGGATTAAAAGAACACACAAAAAATCTCACAAAAGTATATAATATGTCCCAGCTCTCAAGTTGCAGACAATCTTATTGGAAAGGCAAGACACCTATGTATGAAATGACTTTCCAAACTGTAGAAAGCATTATCAATGTGCATGAAAATAAACATATACTAGCATGGATATTTATAGGAATATTAAGCCCTCTTTACAATTATTATTACTACCATTATTACAAAGTATAAATTACTTTAATATTAATTACTATTAATACATTAAGGCACTTGAGGTGATTAAAAATTGTACTAGCAGCTACATTAACTAAGTGCCTTCCCTCTGCCAGGCTCTTTATGCAGTTCTAATCCTTCTAACACAGTCCTGCCAGGTATGTATTATTATCCCTGTTTTTAGAGAGACTGTAAGATGCCTGCCCAACACTGCAGAGTTTGTAAGTAGTGAGACAGAGGTTTGAACTCAAATCTCTAATTCCCAAGCCCATGCTGCTTCTCATCTCTGTGGGTGGGAAATATGATGATTTTTGGAAGGTTTGATTTCTGCTAATATTTCCCATGACAAAAGACAGCAGTTGAGAATCTTAAAACACTTTCTCTCACAGCAAAAAAACTCACTATTCCATCAATTAAAATTCTAAAATTTTAAATCAACTTATATGGAATTTTTGCTGAGAAAAGTGAGGCACATTATTGTAGATCTACCACTATAAAAAGGTAAGCGTTAGCAGGGAGAAATACATTGGCAGTGGCTTGGAGAAAGTTGCTGTGGGAACATGGTGGCTGAGAGAAGCATTTACAGTCTTTTCCATGTAAGACTTTGAGGAAAGGAGTCCTTTAAACAAAAAAGGCTGGCAGAGGTCCCATAATGAAATAACTTTGCGAAATGCTACCTATCACATATCCTTCTTGGTAATTCATAATGCATATTAGACCTCCTGCTTTCTAAAACTCAGTGTTGCCCACACCGACTTAGGCACAGGACCCTCCATTCTCTCCCAACTCCACTCTCAACACCTAGTAACTCCCGCAGGGTCTAGTGCAGCACAGCTGTCCAACAGAAACGTCAAGTGAGAGCCACATGTGAGATTTAAAATTTCCTGGTAGCCAATTTTTTTAAAAAATCCAATTTATTTTAATATACAGTTGATCCTTGAACAATATAGGTTTGAACTGCGAGGGTCCACTTATGTACAGATCTTTTTCAACATGTTTATAAATATATACACATAGAACATTGTGTGCAGAACTTGAAGTGGATAGCCTATCCTTACACAGACATACGGTGAGTGGTATTTAACACAAAATTAATAATGTGTTAGTTTTCTTACTGTCCTATAACTGCTTTCAAAGAAATGCATTACTGTGAAGTACAGCTCTCACTCTTGTTATTGGAGAAACTGTGTATCAGCCTATTACCACAGGTAAGTGGTTTTTTAAGAAAAATATAACACTGTTTCCAATACTGTATTATGAATCTAACTGTAATACTGTACACCATACAGATTTTAAAAAGACTCATTCATTAGTGTAGCGGTTAGACAACTGGGCCGCAATCCTGTCGATTACACTAAGCACCATAAAGCAATCATACAGCCGGTGCTTCGCTGTCAATGCACGAATCATTCTACCTATATGTAAGTATAAATTTCTTTTTCACATTATCTTTTCCTTTTTGATGTCTAGTGTTAGTGATATAATAACATCCACAGTGTTTTGCATTACGTAAGACAATACTGATGTATGTACTAGCAGACAAGACAATCCATCTTGTGAACAGACGTCGTAAACTTGTGGTATGGATGTATACAGTACAGTGCTCTAAATGCATTTTCTCTTCTTTATGATTTTCTTAATAACATTTTCTTTTTCCTCGCTTCCTCTATTGTAAGAATTCAGTATATAATACATATACCAAATACATGTTAACTTACTGTATGTTACTGATGAGGCTTCCAGTCAACAGCAGGCTATTAGTTAAGTTTTGGGGGAGTAAAAACCTGTATGTGGATTTCTGACTATGTTGGGGGTTGGCTGTTCAAGGCCAACTGTGTTTTATTTGGTCCAGAATACTGAAAAGATATTTGGGGCAAAATAAAAAAGAATTATTTATTTAGATAATCATTTCAACATGTAATTAATATAAAATTAATGAGATATTTTACATCCTCTTTTTCAAACAAAGCCTTCAAAATCTGGTGTGGACTTTACACTTAAGAGTAAATCACAGTTGGTGCTGGCCACACTTCAAGCACTGATAGCCGTATGTGGCAAGGAGCCACCATATTGGACAGGTCAGGTCTAGAGATTTTTATAAAACTTAGTTCAGGAAAAACATTGGCCTAGAGGTTCATTTGCCCCTTGTTAGCCCTTATGGATAGCCACAAGGTGGAAATCTTTTAAAATTTAAGAACAGTTGAAGAGGTATGAATAATATTTACCCTAATTATTTATATATGGTTTTCCAAAGGTTTTTGTTTGTGGGATTTGTTTATGGGGGGATGCAGAGTGAAGGGAAGGGAGCTGCCATAACCCTGTTTTCACCAGAATATAACCCCCTCTACACACACACACACACACACACACACATACACAGATTTAATTTGGAAAAGGAAAAATGATGAATATTAAGTATCAGTTCCAAAGATAACCCTCATCTAGCCAAACAACTGAAATCCTAATCTTCTAGAAGCAAAGTTAATTTTACATGATTCTTACGTATTTATAAAGACTTTAATACATGTTTCTAACAATAAGTTATTTCTTCATATTTGTGTAAAATGATCTTAAATACATGGGGAAAAAATCCAAAAGTAAATTATTTGGAGATAAAAGCAAACAAACTGTTTACAAAAATAGACACTAAAATTAAGGCTGAAAGCTCCTGGATCAGGCACTCTCACACAAGCCTCATAACTGCCTCACAGACCCATTTTTGTAAATAGTGAAATCAAGACTTGCTCTAGGCTCTCAATCACCTGGCAGCTTGTTAAAAATCCAAATTCTCAGGCCCAGACCTACTGGATCAGGAACTCAGGGGGTGTTGAACAAGGTCATCTTGATGCACACTCATGTCTGAGAACCACTAGATCAATACAGAACTAGTATTTAAACCCAATCTGCCTAACGTCAAAAGCTGAACATTTTTTAGAAGTTTTGGGGGGCCCTTTCTTTGGGAGGGGGCTGAGAACTTGTGTGTGTATGTGTGGTAAAATACATATAACATAAAATTCACCATCTTAACCATTCTGAAGTGTACAGTTCAGTAGTATTAAGTACTATCGCATGGTGCAACCATCACCACTAGCCATCTGCAGAAGTCTTTTTCATCTTGCAACACTGAAACTCTATACTCATTAAATGCTAATTCCCCCTTCCTCCTCCCCCCAGCCATTGGCAACTACCATTCTATTTTCTGCCCCTATCAATTTGACTACTCTAGGTAACTCACAGAAGTGGAATCTAGAAGTGGAACCTAGTTTTACCCAACACCTTCAATTGCAGAAAGTTTGGAAAGTACAGAAATGCCTAGGGAAGAATTGAAGATCACTTATGGACTCCACTGCCTAGAGGTGACTGCCATGGACTGAGCTGTGTCCAACCCCCACCCCAAACTCAGGCGGCAACCCTAAGCCCTAATGTGACTGGATTTAGAAACAGGGTCTTTAGGAAGTAATTAAGGTTAGATGAGTTCACCAGGGTAGAGCCGTAATCCAACAGGGCTGATGCTCCTGTAAGAGGAGGAAGAGACTCCAGAGCTCCTGTGGACATTGAGAAGGTGACCGTCTGCAAACCAGGAAGAGGGTCTTCCCAGCAAGTGAACTGGCTGGCACCCTGATCTTGGACTGCCCAGCCTACAGAACTGTGAGGAGATAAGTTTCCGTTGTTTAAGCCACCCAGTCTACGGTATAGCTGACCCTTGAACAACTTGAAGGCTGGGGCACTGACTGGGCAGTTGGAAAACCTCATATGATTTTACAGTCAGTCCTCTACATGGGCAGTTCCTCTGCATCTGCAGAGTCAACCAACTGAGGATCCCACAGAATCGTAGTATGTACTTAGTGGAAAAAAATCCACACTTAAGTGGACCCATGCTGTTCAAACCCATGTTGTTCAAGGGTCAACTGTATTTATGGTAGCCCGAGGTAATACTTTGGAACATATTTTTTCAGTCTTTTTCTTTAGTTTATTTTTAAAAGTATGTTTTATATTTAAATGGAATCAAAGCCCACATGCCTTTTTTCACCTTCCCAGCATTTTCTAAACCTGCACCCTGCAAACTAGTGCTCGCAGGACACTGATTTTTGGAAACTGGGTTTTAAAGTGACATCAGGTTTCTATTGCTAAATTTCTCAGTCTTTTCTATATTAAACTGAGAATATCAAAATGGGAATCTGTTATATTTGATCTCTAAGTGTTTTGGGGGAAAACTCTGTTACATCTCCTGCTATTCTGAAAAAAGTCTACTACTGGACAACAAACAGGAAGTTCAAGGGTCAATACTGGCTGACAGGAATAATTAAGACAAAAAGTCAATTTACTTTTCTAAAGGAGCTATTCACTTATTCATTCACTGTTAGCAGACGAGTCTAATTAAACACTGCTTTAATATTACTTTTTTATAACAATAATTTAAAAAAGCAGTGATAGATAGGCCCCAAATGGGTGAGGCACTGTTAACCCTTTATATGTCTGATCTCACTTATTCCTTGCAAACTTCCTCTGTGAGGTTAAATTCTCAATCCAGAGGGAGTAACTAAGACACACGCCCCCAGAGAGGTTATGTAATTTACTTGAGACAGCACAGAAAGGAAAAGAGCCAGGGTTAGAACACAGATCTGTCTGGTTCCAAAGCTATTATTAACTAAAATGTTTCTTTCTTTCTTACTCAAATCACTGACTTGCTTGAAAACCCATTTTGTAATACCTAAAGAAAAATTCAAATAATCTGGCCTTGCATTTAGTGCATTTCACAAATTGATCCCAAAGTCCCATCCCAGCCTTCCTTTTTTCTTCTCTCTCGTCTTCTACAAACTTCTCACTTCATCCAAAGAAGTTTTCTCACTGTCTTGCCCCTCTCATTCACTTCTCACTTAATTTAGTTCTTTCCCACCGGAATTCCTCTGCTTTGCCATCTTCTCCTGGTCAATAAATTCCTTAGGCTCCAGTCAAATTCCACTTTTTCATATATAACCTTTCACTGGTCATTCTCTCATGCTCCACATCCCAATCCCACTGGCTACACTTTCAAAATAGATCCAGAATCTAACCATATACCACCTCTATCTCTGTCATCACCTCTCCTTTGGCCTCTCTGCTATTGCTCCATTACCCGCTACAATCTATTCTTACCCCAACCTCCTGAGTAATCTTCTTAAAACATAAATCAAAACTCTCCAGTGAATCCCCATTTTCCTCACTGTAAAAACAAAAATCCTTTTCTATGCTCAGCTGTGAACACTCATAATGCCCTACACAACTATCCTCCCTGCCCCCAGACCTCTCTGACCTCTTTCTGATTCTAGCCCTTGCTGACTTACCATACCCTGAACTCACCAGGCATACTCATGCCTCAGGCCCTTTGCACCAGCTGCTCTCTGCCTAGAATGTCATCCCTTCAGACAAGGCTTGCCCCTTACGTCTTTCTAGTCTCTGCTCAGAGGATCATGACCTACCATGACTACCCTGCCACCTCCCAGTACTCCACATATTCCTTACCTTGCTTTATTCCACCCCCCATAACTTACTACAAAGTTTACCTAGGTTTATTGTCTGTCTTCTCATGACAGCAGGGCATCCATCTTTTATTCACTGAGGCATCCTGGAGCCTAGAATGGCAGCTGGCACACAGTAGGTACTCAATAATATTTGCTGAATGAGTAGATGTAAGGACATGCTCACACACCTCAGCCAAAGGCTCTCTCCTTTGCTCTCGCTTGCACCACTCATATACTGCTGATCCACCTGGCTGGATCATGTATTCCTGTACCCTCCAAGTACCCTGTACAAAAGTAGCATTTAGTAAATATTTGATGATGAAATATGAGTGCAGTAGCTTTTTCTTTCAGAATAGTTACAGCAATAATTTTTCAAAATATGACACTTCATTTAGAAAAGAAACATTCTGGAAAACAGTATAAGGAAAAACAGAACACTTAATTTTAAATTAATCTTAAAAGGATGGAAAATATTTTAATGGTGTGTGCATATAATGCATATTCTTTATATCACTTCTAGGAAATATCACAGTTAAAAGAAATCTAACTATTTTAGATTTAGGAGCATTCCTTTTTATTTTAAATCGTATGAGAAATACTTCCAAATTAAAACCACACAATCAAAAATAACTTTTACTCTCAGCAATCAGGAGGAAAAAAACCTGATTTTTTTTTTGGCGGGGTGGGTAATAGTCTCTACACATGGAAAGAGTTATTTCTAAACCTGAAGACATTTTTCCACATTAAAAAAAAAAACTATTATTCTACTTCCTAGGTAAATTCTGTTTAAAAAACTAAAATTTACTCTAGAAAACTTTCTCTGACATTAATCCTAACTTTGTAGGCAATACCTTTGTTTGCCAAACTCAAATATAAGGATTTTAAATTTAATCTCTCAAAATGGCATCCAGGTTTCTCCAGTTCTACTATTTATTGAGAAATGATTTCTGAAAAGAATAAATTATAAACTACTCTAAGTTATTTTATATTCATAAAACTTTCACATATATTACACTAAAAGTAAACATTCAATAGCTATGGCTTTATTTTTATTTCAGGGGACATGCTTAGGGCTTTAAAAATTATTGCTGAAAATCCACTGTTGGGGTGGCCCTAATACTGTAAAATATTTTCTAAGGAGAACTGAATACCAATTCTAAAACAAAAACTTAACCAAGAAACTAGATAAACTGTCTTTTAAAAAAATTACAATAAAAATCTGAAATATACCAAAGCAACTCTTAAAGATGGTTGATTTTAACACATATAGTAGCAGTCTCGATACGCCTTAGTTAGGTTTGAAATATTTAGTCTACATAATAAATTTTGAAAATCTCTCCCATATTACGCTCACCACAAGATCATGAAATTCATCTCCCCAGATTAGGTTTACCACTAATAAGCAGTGAGATGGTTGGTTCTTATGGGGAGAGGAGGAGAACTCAAGTTAGTTCTGACAGCCTGGCATGAAGAACGCAGGCACTACCTCAGACTGCTCAGAGAGCAACTTAATGCTCAAGACTACAGGTCAGCCCCGGTAAACTAAAAACTCCACGGTGAGAATGTTTCATGACCTTTCATTACTGTTGTCTACCGCAGCTCAGCTTTCCTGTAGAGTCAAAAAGAAAAGAAAAAATCCTTTTGACACGTCATCTTACTAGCCTTATATTCAACCTACAGCGCTGCCTCTTTAAAAGAATGTTTCTTTAAAGCAAATCACACTTTGTACATTTTAAGTACTTTCCCCCAAGTCTGTACTATAAGCACAGAGCTTACACTGACAACATTCCAAGCAACGGAACAACCTGAGCTACATCATACCATGTTTAATTAAGGTTCTAAGTGTTCTCTTTCCCAATTAGGGATTTTTGTAAGTGAAAGATATGATTCACAATCCCTGATTGCTCCCAAGGATAGAGCCAAATGGTCCCCATGTTTGACTCACCATACTATGCAAAAAAACCTGAATTACCTGCAGAAGGAGCAAAATAACTGCTCTGACCTAAAACTTGACTATCGACATAAAATTCTGGTTTTTTTGGTTACCATTTTGATTTATCAATAAAACACTTTTCTTTATCATCCTGTTGAAACAAAGGTCATCCAATTTTAAGACCTCAAAATGTTTAACTTGTAGGCAGTCATTTGTAGATTGAATGTATACATGGGCTAAATACCAATGGAAAAAAATACGATGCATGGATCCGCAACATATATTCAAATCCCAGCTCTGACCCTCAGTAATGTAACCTTGGGCAAGTTATTTAGCATTTCTAAACCTCTGATCCACTATATATAAAATAGAGACAAACCTACCTACAGGGTATTATGAGAATGAATGTTAAGGTTTAACAAATATTACTTCTCTTTCCCCCCATTTTCTCTCTTGTGAACATGTCTCAATCACAGGTCAGGACATCAAGTTTAAATTCTGATGATACAAGGAAGCACCCTGGATTTTAGCTGAACTGAAATAAGCCTTTCCTAGAAAGGCAATACCTTTCATACCTCATTCCCTCACATTCTCACACTCAGGATTTTTATTTCAGGTAATATGAGTGAGTGTTCAATATGTCTGTAAGATAAGCCAAAGAACCCACAAAAACAGAAAATGTTCAATTTTACAACTTTATTAAAAAGAAATATATGATTAAATCACAACTATATAAATTAAAATTGATTAGGATTAAGTGGAAGGGGAACCTGGGTTTCAGGTCTGATAGTGAGGTCTCCAGATCTTTTCCGTAATGGAAGCACATATGAGGTAAGGGGAGGAAAAAAAAACCTCAAAGCCCCTAGTGGCTTCTCCCCAAGACCTCTTTCTTCCATTTTCCCACATGACACGTGTTGACGGCCCCTGAGCTCTCCTGAACCACGCTGTACATGGTAAGCCACCCCAGCAGAGCCACCTCCTGGGCCCATCTCCATTCAGCAAGGGACCACTTACAAGGTTCCACTTTAGGGTTTTCCTTTCAAGTCCACACCTCATTCCTTCTCTGTCAGCTCTCCCACTTCTCCACACTCATTTAACCACCCCCTACTTCCTGCTAGACCCTTACTCACTGTATTTTCCACTTCTTCTACAGGACATCACTGGTGACGAGAGAACCATGGCACTCAGATGGATGCCATGCTATGTTACCTAATTCAAGCTGCCTCATTACAGCTAAGGACCATTCCCTTTTCTCAATCTTCCCCCATCTGATACACTCCACAGATGTACTCCTCTCAAACTCAAAACCTTTTGCCTCTGCCCGACAAGTGACCTTGCTAACTTCTCAGGAAAGATGACAGACATCTATTTTGAATCTTATCATCTACCCTGCTCTAATTTTATTTCACTGTTCCTTATTCTGCAGGCAATTTGGGGAACGGAGGAACCTTATGAAAAGATGAATGACAGCATTCCAAGGAAAGAATAGAGAAAGGAAGGCTAAGGGAAGTGCTACAAAGTTCTACTTGGTATTATCTGAAAAAAAATTTTTTTTAATGATTTTCCTTTATTTCCCTCCCTCCCTGCCCTATAATCTGATTGTTCTTATCACCCGCTGAGATCAGAGTGTATAAGGCATTGCTGATCTCTACCTATCTCCAGAAATGGTTTTTCCTTTGGTTCCCATCATTCTGCTCTGCCTGGGTTGTCTAAGTTCTTACTTAGCAAATGTTTACTGAGCGCCTAGCTTGTTTTAAATGTTATGCTAAAGGCTTCAAATAAGTCAGTGAAGAGAGAAACAAATAATCTAAAGTTTCTTGGTCCCACTCCAGAACCTCTGTGTTGCTGTTATGCCTCTTCACGTTTGGGTTAAGAGGGGAGTGTGCAAATAACCTCTGTACCTGCCACAAATATTTAAATGTTAGTTTATTTCTTTGACTGTGATAAAACGTACGTAAGGTTTGCCATTTAAGTGTACAGCTCATTGCTTTAAGTACATTTACACTGTTGTACAACTGTTGTCACGATCTCGTTCCATTACTTAAAAAAAAAATTTTCAAATGTGTTGCAATTTTATTTATTTATTTATTTGGGGGGTAATTAGGTTTACTTGTTTATTTTTAGAGGAGATATTGGGGATTGAACACAGGACCCTGTGTATACTAAGCAAGCACTCTACCACTTGAGCTATACCCTTGCCCCCTCCATTACTTTTTCATCATCCCCAGTCGAAATTCTCTACCTATTAACTTTTTATTAATCAAAAATGATTTTCACGGCTGAATTCTTAGCTCCACCCCCATTGTCTTCTCCTGATTTCCTACCCAGTAACATTCCAAGGTTCATCATTGTAATCACCCCCTTGCAACCACCCTCAATTCTCCTAGCTCCTTTCTTCCTGTCAGGCCTGGGGGTGCAAAACTCCAATCTTTGTTGAACCCATCCACTGGCTGCTCTTTGCACACCTTGTAATAGCTGAATGTTGCTGGCAGAAAACCACACAACTAATTGGGTTGATTGGTTTCACCTTAAATTCAGACCCCAAGCCACATCTAGGCATTCAATAGTGCCCAACAATCTCACATCATGTCTCAGTGAGTTCAGTGTCCAAGGCAAGGTGTCGTCCTCACCTCAAACCATCCACATCTCTTCCTCCTTTAGTTTAAGTTGCTGGCCTTGCCTTAGACTTCACTGAGAAAGCAGAATCCATCAGAACAGAAAGCCCTATATTCCACCTCCAGTTCATAAACTTGCACCCAGATTCTGCCTTCTCTCCTGCTACACTGCAAGTCATCTTGCTCCCATCAAAGGCAAACCCTCTTCTTGTGTTCTGAATTCCTCAAGAATTTTGCTCCTTTGGGAGTCTTATCTTTCTTCTGCATTAGTCTCTTTCCTATTAGATATTATTTCCAGCCTACTTGAAAATGCTCTTATATTTACTACCATTAAAACAAAAAGGCGCTCCCTTATGACTAGGACATTGTGCTATACACCAGAAATTGACACACTGTAATTGACTATACTTCAATTTAAAAAAAGTGCTTCCTTGACCCTACCTCTCTCTCCAACCACTACTGTGCAGTTTCTGTCCTCAGTTTATGGCAAAGCAAGCAGTTGATGTTCACCTCACTCCCATTCTCTCAGTGCATTCCAATCTGGCTTCTGTCTCCATATGCCACTGAAGCTACTTGTCAAGACAGCCAAATCCAAGTGGAATTTCTCTATCCTCACTGTTTAACTTCTCAGCAGTATTTGGCAGAGCAGACCATTCTCTCTTTTCTTGCAAAGAATAATTCACTGTCCCGCTTTAATGCTAAACTCTCCCAGTCTCCTTTGCCCAACCTTAACCCATTGGTACTTTTAGCTTAGGCCAGGAACTTGAAGGCATCCTTGGTCCCTCCCTCCCTCCCACAGCCAACCTATTAAGCAAATACTGATTCAACCTCCAAAATATACCTGAAACCCATCATCTACTCCGCTCCATCTTCACTGCCACTGTACTTGCCTAAGATACTATCAGTCTTGAGCTGACCTCAAGTTAGCCCCCTAACTGCCCTCTCTGCTTCCTCTCTTCCTCCGAACAGCAGCCAGTGATATTTAAAAACACATACCACTGCCCTAATTAAAGTCCTACAATAGCTTCTCATTTTCATTAAAATAACATCCCCAAACTCCTGTACACCCTAATACAAGAGGCCTTGTGTGACCTTGCCAACTCCAACTCATTCCATTCTCCTCCTGCTGCTCTCCATTCTAACACATAGGCCCTTCTGGGCCTTTCAGGTCTTTGCACTTGTCCCCAGGCCAGGAATGTCTCCCCAGCTTTTCACACGGCTAATATAAGCTCACGTTTCAATTCTCCGCTCAAATGTCACCTTTTCAAGGGACACTCCTTGACTCTTACTAGCCATTCCCTACGACACACTTTTGTAGCTCCAACAGATTATTAATCTCTTAATTTTTCTTAATCTCTAACTACCTTGAATATTTGTGTTTACTTATTTCCCATTTTCCCCACTATACTATAAATTCCATGAGGGCAGAGATCTTGTCTGTCCTGAATTCCACTAAAGGCTACTTTAAAATAAAGAATCTACTCTTTCCCTCTGAGCAGGTTTACTTTAGATTTCCTCTCCTTTCAAGCTTTATAGGATTTAGTCAAAGAATATAATTACTTTGGCATTCACCACATAAAACAAGGGGAGAAAAACCACAGGGGACAGCCAAAGACTAGAACTCCACCCACCCACTAGTCTAGACAGAACAGACTGCACACAGGTATTCAACAGCTGCCCTTTAGAAAACTTTTCAAAATGTGGAACAGAGAAGTGTGGATAAATGCAAAGATCATATAATTTTGACACCTGCACCAAAAATCAAAGTTTTCATTCTCTCGAGCAATTACTAAATACAACAGTGACTTCAGAATAAAAAAATAAAAGCACAAAATAACTAAAGTATGTGGTCCTTGCTCCAGAGAGGTGAATGATTTCATCACTGATGTGGTTCTCTCTCATGTTGGTCTGGCTGGCTATTCATCAGCTGCTCTGGGTGTTTCTTCCTGACTTTCTGTGTCTTTAATATGCATATTGTTCTCATCAAGCCGTGGGTTTACACTAACTTCCCCATCCTACTTCCTAAAACCTAAGACAGCTTCGCAATTCAAAATTCTCAGTAGAATGAAATGATAGTTTTTAAAAAGCACTGGTATTTTAAAGCCTTAGGATATTTCAAACTTGCTTTCTGCAAGGAAAATTTCAAAAATTTGATAAATGGCAGAGAAAAATAAAAGTGAGAATAATGTGAGCAATAAAACTGTGCTGAAGCTCAAAATGATATGGGCCTCAAGCTTCATATTCCAGTTCAAAAAAGCCAGCAGCACAGTGCATAGTGTAGTATAGTGCTGTTCTGAATGTATGTCTGTGCTACAATGGAATCATCTGCAGAGCGCTGGAATTACAGGGTCCTACACATTTGGATTTAGGGGATCCTACATGAGCCATGAGCCAGAATTTCAAAATTGGAGGTTGTTAGGAGCATCAAGAAGTTGAAAGTCAGAGTCTTAAAACTGAGATTGCCCAAAACATTAGACCTTTAGGGAAAAAAAACCCATCTGTCCTTAACAATGGATGTTACAAATCTGTATTGTAAAACATCTTCCCAGTTGATTCTAATGCTTAGATTTGGAAACCACAGGTATTGAGGCAAAAAACACAGCTTTAGGGATCCACTCAATTCTACCACTTAAAACTGCAAGAGACCTTGAACAACTCCACTACCTCGGCAAACATTGTTAGTTCCTCCCCTGGTAAATAGATAATAAAAATCAATACTGTAGAACTGATACAACAAACAGGCATTAAAAAAAAGCACCAAAGTCCTGGCATATAAGTGTTCAATACATGATAGGTTTTAAAGGGCCTAAAACATCTACTACAGTGTTTGTAAACACAAGGACACACTTAATGGTGCCACTATGTTACTTTCATCCACTAGATATTAACTATTTACTTTCTATCTCTGTGGACTCCTAGAGAGATTAGAGCTTTACAGACTTTTTTCTCAAGAATCTTTTCAGTAACAATTGAAAACAAAGTTAAAACCCACACATATCTTAACACACAGCTAGTACAGGGCATATAAATACTTATATGGATGCTTTTAAGGAGACAATAAGTGGGAGAATGAAGAAGTCTGATATTGACGAGAAAGAGATGATCCAAAACAAAATGCAACTATTTTTCTTTTTAGAAAGGGAAAGGAAGAAAGTCTCGGGAGTGTTTCAAAGCGAGTTTAATTTTTCAGATCAGAGTTCTAAGAAACTGTCTTAATTTACTATCATTTGGGATAGGTAATACGAAAGCCAACAATAAGTTTCAAATGACAGGAACCCATCACCTTCCCACAATTTGACAACTAGAGAAATGTCTCTCCAGGGTTGTTTGAAAACACAACTAAAAAAATAAAACTAACGTGGGTACTATAGAGAACCATGTTACTGGAAAACAGACAGACTCTGCCTTCGACTTTTTTTTTTTTTCTCCTCGAATTTTGTAGCTTGGTTTGACTCTGTTCAAAATTAACTAGAGGAGGATGAAGGAAAACCCTCCATGCCCTGTCCCGAGCCAGGCCGGGGAAGAAAAAGCAATCCAGTTTCAGGCCGAGGGAAGGCGACGGAAAGCCCTCCCCTCCAATTTTTGGCTGGGGGGATGCGGGTTCAGGGAGGGAACCCCTCGGTTGCAAGGCTCGACCCTCAGCCCACTTCCTTTCTCAAACACAAGTGGTAAAAGGGACAAGACGCCGCCAGCCCCAGCCCCTTACCCTACGGGCCGGCGGCCTCATCTTTTGAGTCTGGGGACCCCGGGAAGGACCGGGCAACGCGGCCCCGGGCCCATGCACACGTAGCCCCGACACCCCGGACCTCCCGGCGCTCGGGCCGGCGAAGCGTCCACGAAGGGCGCCGCCCGAGCTGCCAGGGAAGATGGCGCCCGCGGAGCAACTGCGCCACCAGCCCTGGCGACGGGCCAGGCCCAGCGCCATCTTAGC